TTGAGACAATAATTTATAAAATTTTAAAATGGCCACGATCGAACATCTACCGTCTGGCACATGCGTCACGTACTAAAATCTACCGCAGCGAAAGGGTTAATCGTTTTATCTTTGTTTTGCTATCGTTAGAACTGTGCAACGGCAACTGTGCTACAGAATTAATGGCATTGATCCCAGGAACTGTTTTCAGTAATATATCTTCATCAATTTTTCTGAGTAAGTCAGTTAACCTTTTGTAGTTCAAGTGTGTCTTCAGACCATCGACGATACCAGATGTTGACGATAGAATATGTTTATGGGGTATGTTGAAATTTTAATTGCCTCTGTTTATAGCGCAGAAGTGAATAATTCTCTTTTGTACCGTGTAAATGAATTATCTTCATTTTTAATGTCGAAGTATCAGGAAATTTGCAATAGTGTTAGAGATATAAAATGTAGCGTGGAATTGTGTGACTAAATCATTTTTAAATATGAATGTAGTATTAAACCCTTTCACTTCTTTATAACTGTGACAAGCAACAAATGTATTTCTGCGTTAGCTGCTGAAATATTTTAATAATTAGTACTCCTTGCACTCAGCGAATTCTCAAAACGTAATTTTTCTCTTCTAAAAAATACTTTCTACTACAAACATGCATATTTGAGTTACATTTAAATGATATGCCTGAATGAAATAAAATCACGTCTCACTAAAGTGCAACGAGACGTTTAACCCTTTAAACTCCAATTTTTGAAAATTTTCTTTTCAACAACTCCCTATTATTTTAAGTGTTTTATTGGAAATGTAGACAATTGGTTGATACCTTTGCTACATTTAGGGTCATACACATTGTCTAGGTAAAAAGAAATAATTTATACACACGACAATTTAAAAATGTCGAGTCACAGTCGACAGAGGAGTTCAAAGGGTTAACAGCTTCCTCCTTAATTCGAAGGAACGCAAGGAAGCAGTATTTTGGACACTTTTTTGCATCTCAGTTTGGTACCTCCCCTTGACAAGTCTTCTCTCGACGTACGGACATTTCGTTGATCCACGATAGCCATGGAATCGCCTATACCCACAGCTCGTTGAGCTTATGTTCGTGTCAAGCTCTACAGTTGTCTCGCAAAGCTTGACAAGCGGCCCAAGAATCACGAGGCATGCCAGTCACACGAGTAGTACCTATGGACGTGGCCTTAGATACAAACACGGATCAAATTTGATCTGGCATCGATTACTCGATGGCCAATATACATAAATAATGTCAAGGAATCGAGAAATTCTTACGTCGTTTTTTTTTTTAGCGATTAAAAAAAATTCGTTTCCACACTTCCACCTTAATTTCATAAACCAGATATTGAAATGATGAAAAAAGACGTTTTTAGCAACCATAATTGAACATCTATCGTCTGCCATCTGCGTTACGTGCTAAAATCAGTCAACAGATATTCCCCTGTCTTCATAACCAATTGAACATCATTTTCTTACAATTGTTGATCGCTAATCGATCAAGTAAAGTGTTATCATACGTGTGTCCATGTGACACTCAGCTATCAGTTGAAAAATTATCGGTAAAATCGGCCAGGAGTCAAAGTAAATATGTTTCGAGTGTCACGACAATTGACAGAAATACGAGCAGTTAAAAACCTGAAACCTCTGGCAGAGCCGTACGAAGAAATATTTGAAACTCGCTGATAAATTTCATTTCGTCCTTTGCGCGAGTTTCATGAAACATCCATGCCGCATGGCAAAATTAACATATGCGAATTTTCCTCTGGTAAATGAAACACCGTTAGCCACAAGTCGTCGTTTCTTCATTCTACAAAAACCCAAAACGATATGCAGCCCCTAAGTCCAGCGACATCAATCACACTACACGCACATTTCAAAAGAACCGAACATCATTCTTTCCATTTCCTCCAGCCATACACATGCAACATTTAAACATAAATTTTCACACCTCCTTCTCTCCCATCAAACTGTGCGCGACGTCCTTTTAGAAACAACGCGGCACTTACGTCACGTACAAAATGGCGGTGAACGGTGAAAGGTTCCGCGAAGTTCGTGCAATAAAAAAAAAAGGGGGTGGTGGTGGTGGGAGTGGGGAAAGAAAGAAAGCTACAACATTGAACCGCAAAGATATGCGGGAGAGCGATGGATAAAAAGAGCAGCTGTGTGTGTGTGGAGAAGGGGTTGAGTTATCGAGCGAAACGTGTAAAGAAACAGAGAGGAGACTGCAACGCCGTTGTGGGCGCATCGTCGACGAAGCCCCAGAGAGTAGAGAGAACCCAGTAGGACGGTGGTATCGAAAGGAACGACGACTTGAGTTTCTCTTTCCTTCTCCATATCGTCGGAGCAGCCCTCCTCCGGTCGGAGGACAGCCCCACCATTGGCTTCAACCTCCCCACCTCCCTCTTTATATATATATATATACACACACATATATATGTATCCCTCTCTTTTTCATCCTCTTTCACTTCACACTGATTTTCCTTCCCTCTCTCTCTTCTCTCTTTGCTCTGTGTGACTCTCTAACGGAGGCAGGCACGTTGCTTTCAAACAGAGAAAGAGAGAGAGCCACGCATAGGCGCGTATACGGAGCACGTGGTTGGCCGGGTTCACCTGCACATGGCAAAGGAGGGAACCAACGCCGGGCGTCCCGGCGGCGCGGCACCTGCACTCTGCTCCGTGTTGTCTATCGGATAGAGAACGGCTGGGGGATGGCGACGTACGAGAGTAAGAGGGAGAGAACCCCGCTGACCCTCTCTCTCTCTCTCTCTGTAGAGTGAAAAAGAGACAGGCAAGCCGTTGTAGAAGAGAGGGGAGGCAGGCAGGCAGCAATGGAACAAGGAGAAAGAGCGAGAAACGAGTGAAACGAAGGGCGGCAGGAGGGGAGAGGACTATTTCCGCCTTTTAAAAAGCGTACCAGAAGGCCCCTTATAGGCGGAGCTGCGCCGAGCAGACGCGCCGCTATTGGCTGGCTTAATATCTAATATATCATGTCGTAACGGTTGGGAAATTATTGTCCCCTTGTTCCTCGTGTCCCGCGAACGTTAAACTACCGCACGGTTCCATTTTCCTTTCGCTGTGAAACAACCGCCCCCTGGGCTCAAGCACCACCCCCTACCCCCTTTATGGGCAACGCTTTGTAAACCCAACGGCGGCAAACGACGAGTGTCGTTGATTTGTTTAAAATCGATATTTACAACATCGGGGGAGGTGTGTAGTAGGTAGATGACGAGTGCGCGTGCGCAGTGGTGGTATCGCCGTTTTCGGGGATATCCCGGATGGGTTGAACCGGAGAACCACGTGGTGCGCCGTGAATGTTACGCTAGGACAGAATTATCATTTTATCGACGTTTGTTTCTTGTTCGGCGTACTTACACTTGCCGCGCCGAGGCGATCTTTCGCTTTGGTCGCTGGACATTGTGGTGGTAACGGAAGCGATGCCGCGTGATGGGTTGGAAATAGGAATATTTAGGAATATTAGATTCTTCGGGAAATTGAAGTAATTTTGAGAAAATTAATTACGGTTGTAAAATGTACAATTTTGATTTAGGCTTAGGCTTTTTGCATTTTTTTATGGCAATCAATTTTGCAGGGTGCTCAGTGCTTTCATATATAATTATATATATTACATAATAATTATATATTTTATATAATTAAATTTGGGTAATTTTAGGAAATGAGAAATATTGTTGCTTTATCGAGTCAGCACTGAAGATATTACTTTTGCTTTTTTTCATCAGTTCTGTTTAGTATTGGTTCATTAGTCTGAGGAATGAAAGTGTATGAAGAAAGTGACAAAAGTTGAATATTGTATCTTTTCGGTACACTTATCTTTAATGACAGTAATTGCTACTTTACGAAATATATCACCTTCTATTCCTGATTTGAACTTTTACTACGTGTACAAATATAGCCCCATGGTTATTGAGCAACGTAATTCCCACCTTCACCGTTTGCTCTCGATTCGATCGTCATTGTCGACCGTAACAGGTGTTAGAAAGCTGCTAGAAAGTCTTGTTCAGCTACAGATAACGGAGTAGATTGTGTCGATAAATACAAAAACTTTGTGTTGCCCTTGTCTTTTTACGAGACAGATTGTCCTCTGTAAATTCTCAGATTCTCTTCTGTAAATTTGACGTGCGTTGAATTCTTCTAACCTTTGGACGGCTGGTGTCGGGTCACAATTGACCCGGCTATTAGATGTTCCTCGTTTGTTCACGACTCTCCTCTCTTTATATTATAAATATGTTTGTTATTTTAATCGTAATACACTTGCACGATTTTAAAATAAAAAAATGTGCTTTTGGACTTAAATAATTTCTATATAAATTGATATACAGCCAAATGAACATTTATACCTAATCATGTTGTACACTGATTTAAAGGATTCATTTTTTGCGTCTACTGTAGTGAAGAAATTAATATCTTGGAAGTTTCTTTCATTATATAAATTAAGTATTATTGTCGAATATAAATGTTGCATTTACAGATAAATTCAGCATAAATTATAGTAGATGTGTAATTGGTATTTCACATTGATTCGTTGGCGAATTTCTAAACAGCTATTACGTTAGATCTTATCCGCACGTGTCAGAGATTGAGTACGAATAATAAATTGGCATAGTTGATGTTACAATTTAAATTTGGAACGCTTTCAAAAGGAGCATTATGTGGGAGTGTAACCTTGATGCACAACACTTTCATGAAACGTCACGTCTTTTATATATAGGAAAGAATTTCTGTTGCACATTGATATCAGCACTTGAAAGCTTATACAAGCTTATACAAATTAATTACAAATATCTTACATTTATGACTGTAATGAAAACTAAAATAAAATTGATATTAATCCTAATACTAAAGTAAGAAAATTAAATTGAAATTGTATTCGAGTGTTTAGAAATTTCTATTCGTAGAAATTTATTATAGGTAGATATCAAAATGGACGAACGTAGTTAACGTAATTCTTCTATTTAATCATTCTAACGACGTAATTTATTTTGTGTTGCAGGTGACACTGTAGAAGTTTTGCTGGAGTACAGTTCCAAGCTTCTAGATCTCTTCCAATACAATTGGGACATGCTACCATTGATGTACGTCATTTTAAAATATGCAGGGGCTAATCTGGAAGAGGCTGTGAGAAGCATAATGGAAGGTAAAGCGCTTTGTCTTAAGTTACTTTCGATATTTCGATTATAAACGAACAACATTTTCAATTAAACCTACGATTACTGCATTATATACAACAAAATATCCTATTATTCTTGTACAATATTTCGCGATCGAGAAAAATAATGCGAATCTTTTTTCTCCTCTAGCTACAATAGCCTCCTGTCCGAATAATTCTCATTGGAATACTATTTTGGATCAAATTCTTTCGTTTATTTTAAATTTAACGCCCACTTGAGGGTTCAGTTTTGAAAATTTTCAAAATTCTTTCTCGATCTCCGCGTTTGTACTTCATTACGATTTTTTAAATTAGTTGCATCGCTGAAGGAAAATTCTGCCGAAAATTCGTTCGGTTAAACGAACCGCATCTTTAATTTTCGCGAGAGAAGCGATGGAGACAATTTTGTTTTTGGCAGTTCAACGGTTGGAAGATTACTTTTCTCCTCTCAGCTAAATTCATTGGCGGATGTAGAAATCACGGCGTATCGAAATTGGCAACACGGTTTTAGGTAGCTGAGTAATTCGCGAAAGCCACGATTTTGCGTTAAATACATTGAAATACTTGAATAAAAGTCACAGAAATTGCTAAAATTCGATTAAAATTGGAATAATCGTATTCGATACGAGTGACCTTGATAAAGTTAAAAGTAAATGACCAGCAATTAAATTTGCTGTTAATCGAATTGGCGAAGCAAACGGACGAACGAAATTTCTAATAAAAATTGTACAACTGGTACATCTGATGCTAATAAAAATTCATCTCTCTCACGAACAAACATTTCTTTCTAATTTTCATCAAAATCAATAATACAGTTTTGTTTCTGGTAAAATTAAAATTCAGACTGCCATAAATCCTCCACATTTTCGTTGCAGTATTCGTCTAACTGTAGACTCAGTGTGTATACAAAAATACAATTATTTTTAATATTTTTTAAATAAACAATAATTCATAATTTTAAATAGTTTGTAACATAATAGTATCGACTTACTCAATTTTGAGTCCCACGAAAACTTCCTATATTCACAAATTTATAAAAACGTCAAGGTTTATTAACAGAAAAAAGAAAAGTTTATTTATTGCACTCTGAATTCACGAATTTCCAAATTCATCAAATTTAGCGGACGTTCTACGAAATATTAATGACCGTGGTGAAGCACATGTGGCTGCTAAAATAAACAAACGAAATTCTTTCGTATTACAGTGTATATATTTTAGTTTCGTCGTTTCTGTTTCCGCGTGTTATATCATAGAACGTTTGCTCTCCGAAAAGCTTGTTTATCGTACAATTAAAATTCCGCCACCGAAATATCGCGCGCGAGCAAAATAGAAATTCGGTTAGACACAAGGTACACGGACGTTTTAAATGATTTCAACGAAGAAATATTTCCGGTTAGAACAGGGTGAATAATCACGTCGTTGTTGACGAATAACAGCGTTTTCTCGCGAGGCAGTGTTCTCTTGCCAAATCATTTCTTGATTCGTGTCAATTTCGTTGCGCTCGTGACACTCTGCTTTATCGGCAGAAAGAAAATTTTTCCATTCGTTTACGTTTCCTCGTGGGGAAATTGTGAAATCGTCATGCTCGAAGATAACTCAGGAGTGGTTACTTCGATGACTAGTATCAACACCCGAAGATTTATTACGATTACACTCCTACAGGAAGATTTAGTGAATTGTGTCATCATCTGGAAGATATGTGTTGGAAAATGTGTGGATAAAGTAAATTTGGAAAGGTGATCGAGGAAATCGAAGGTGGGTATGATACTCTGAGGTGGATTTGAAAAATGTCACGTTGATTTATCGTTTTGCATAAAACAGGCAGCTAATTTGATTAAATGAAATTGAAGTTGCAATTAAATTTGCAAATTTGTGAGGGACATCAATAGAAGTGTGCAATTTTTTTTGTGCTAGTTTTGGTACTTGAGAAAAACATCCCTTAAAGGTTAATATGTGTTTTCCTATTTTCCTGCATATTTTGAAGATTATAGTTGATATTAAAAAAAATTGTGTAGTATTGAGGGGAAAGGGCACCTATTAGAAGTCCCTCTCATGTCAAAGAATATGCAAAATTTCATCTCCAATGTTCACCGTTGCACTTCGAATATATAAGGGATGTTTTTACCCTGAGGAACGAAAAAGTATCAGAAAAGAAAAATTGCTTTACATTTCAGTCGAGGTCATTTACAAACCTTGCAAAGTTTCAAAAAAATCAGAATTTTCGAAGTACCAAAATTCCCTTGTTTTTATTTCTACAGAAAGATACGTACTTCTGTTTGAAAAATAAATTATCTACGTCTTTATTAACCCTTTTTTCGTGACCAGTGGAACGCTTATGTACCACTTGAAAACTCGCACAAAAATCGATCTCAACTTAGCATCCATTACAAACGCGATGATTCGTAGACAAATAAAAATTTCTTAAAAATAGTGGATCACGAAAGGGTTGAAGCGTTCCAACAGACATTTTCTCCATCTAACATCGCGAGTATAACACATACCTGTAAATTTTCGATTTTTTCGCACTTTCTGCGTGGAATTGTTAATTTTGTTAAAAATGTGGTGCGTCTATGAAGAATGTGGTGCAGTTATTCGTAGAAAGTGGCTCTTTCTAACCGTATATCCACGGATATTGGATTCCGCTATGTACCTGATATTTCATACACACGAAGATTCAACCTATAATCATAATCCTTTCAGATGGAACTCGTGACAAGGTAGGATCTCACAATATTCTCTTTTGCAGTTCGCTTGTTAATTCTTTATCGATAACAGCGAAAGTAAGGCAGTATTGGAGAATGTGTATCGGAGAAAGTGGCGACACTTGGAATATCGTGAACAGGAAATCGCTATCATCAGCACTGTTCTGTTTAGGTCAGCGAGAAAGCTTTGCAATTTTTCCAAACCTCGCTGTATTAATTATTCAGGTTAACCGTTTCGTTGACAATTATGACAAGGCGTTCGATTTTTCTGTTGTTCCTCAACGATGGTTTAGTAACGGTGCAATTAAGACGTTTCTTCGACAGCTTAGAAAGGGTAACGTTCATTTTTCATAAATAGTTGTGCTGTATAATAAGTCGATTGTGAAAGTATGTGAAAGAAAAATACTTCCTTTTTTGTTTTCTTGTTTCGTTAATGAAATTAGGATCAGAATTGATGAAGAGAACGCGCAGCTTTGTGCTTCAATTTTCATGAATTCTTCTAAATTACAAACTCTCCACGAATTCGTTCAATTAAAATGAAATTAACGAATGAAGATTTGAGAAATATTTGGAGCTCCAGGTGTTTTCACCTTTAAAGCAAAGTTATAATATCATTTGTACGCCTCTAGAAGCAGTCTAATTTATTTTTCCTAACTGTTTTACCGATGGTTTGAAATTAAAATTAAATAACTCGTAAAAAGCTCGTTTTAAACTAAGGAGAGTAGTATAATCAATTTTCATCGTTAATATTAGAACTACCAAACTCGTCAAAATGACGAATTCAGATTTCTTACTTTAATTTGGAGAAATTATTATTAGTTATGATTTTCGTTGAAATAAAGAAACAATACCAATTTATTTTCCATTAAGCATTCCTATTTCGAGGTTCTTTATATAGTAGGCATACCTAAATCTACCAGAAGCAGAAACATATTCAGCTCTGTTTGTTCTAGTGTTAATGGTCCGTTTCAGTACTACATTAGATAATTGTTCAAACTATTGCAACGTTCATTGCAATATAGTTTCGCTGCCAACCAGGAATCGTGTTCTTTTATTGCGAAATAACGTCAAGTCGTAGAAATATGACATAGCATCCGTTCAATGGATGGCTGCCAATTTACCATTGCTGTTAAAAATGAACACACTTTGTTCTCTTCAACAAATTTTCAGTTTTATGTGAATCGCCAATGATGAAATTTACAAACACGAGCAGAAATAGGGGTTCTATATGTCGAAACTTGCAATTAACACGTTTGCTACCGGTGACGTGAACCACGTCACTTCGTACGCTTTTTTTATTTGCTGAGTTATCGTAATTGAGAGTTTCTCATAAGCTTGATAATTAAAAATAAAAATTTACAATTTTTGTCTTAACAGTAGAAGTTTGCGACAATTAGCCGCAGAATTTCTTCATTTTAACCGGAAACCAGCAACAGAAACGCGGAAAAATTGCTGGTAGCGAATTTATTAATACCTGCATTTTTCGAACTCATTTTTTTCGAAAACAAAGCCTTGAATTCAAATTATTATTTTTTCTTTTCAATTTATTTTTGCATGTAGAATCACCACGACTTTTGGGAACACTCTGTATAAAAGTCCTGGGTTTTACTTGCAAAAATTGAATTGACTGCTGTTTCGATCTTCATGTCGTTTTTATAGTGTTTATTTGCTGAAAAGTTTGATATAGGTAGATAAAAATGAACGATAGTCACAAGGAGACAAGTTTGGACTGCAAAGGAGGATGTGGTAAAATTTTCCACGCCACAACCTTCAATTTTTAGAAGAATTTTTAAGTTTGAAAGAAAAGTGTAACAGAAATACACCCGTCCTGTGTCAATTAAATATCGAAGCGAGTGAAATATACAAAGAGCGAACAGTTTCAATAATTAAAACCCTTTCATCGACACCAATTTTGCGCATTAGATTTGCTATTTACCACGAACAATTCGGTTTAAGTTTCTCGCCGACAGAAAAAACTGCACGAACTATTAAACATTTTTAAGAACGACTACGATAACCTTGCAATAAAAAAAAATTCAGAAAGAATTCTCAGAACAGAGTAGAATGAGTCGGAACGAGAAATTCTCTCGTTCTTAAATAACAAATTCACTTCCGTTAATTAGGGCGTTTGCGAGATTTACTCGATTATCTGTAAACGTAATTTTTCCGTCGCAATTTCGTTCTTGGCCATTCTTTTTACTGCGTCGCTTGATCCGCGAACAAAGCAACCACTATCTGTAAGTAAAATCGTGCAAAACCCTGCTCGGTCGTAATATTTCGCAAGGC